TAATATGATACAATACTAATGTCAATCTCCACATTAACATTGTAAATTAACATGTGTTTGTGAATATAATATGAAAAATACCATTGACAATTATCTATTCTTGCTTAATGTTGTCCATGCTTGTCAACTTAATATTCACATCATGTTTGGGTATGATGCAAAACTTTATAGTTTGTAGTTGATGAATTGGTGATATTGTCATGGTGTTTGGTAGTATGTAGTTATTATGAATATTCACACTCCTTCCCCTCTTTTTTGGTTCAATGTGAATTCCAAAACAACTATTTGATATTATCGTTGTTGTGTTTTCCCTTCACGTTTGATTGTAACGAACTGATATGAAATACATTCCAAATAAATTTGTGTTAATGCCAACACAAATGCATAATCCACCCCCAATCCATTCAACCCTTAGATGTAAATGTTTACATCATTGTCCATAGATGCGAACATTCACATCAGTGCCCAAAGATGTGAATGTTCACACTTGTGCTTAGATATGTGAATGTTCACATCAATATTTCAAATGTTCGCATTAGTGTTTTCATTGTAGAAAATAACAGACTCAATTGATTTTTTAAATGTTCACACCATGTATTTGATCAATGTGAATGTTCACACCATGTATTTGACTTTTAGGGCATGTTTGATTGGGTGGATTAGAGCATGGGATTGGGATTATTAATCCGTGGGCCCAATTATCCTATGTTTGTTTTAATACTTTGGTTTAGGATTATTAATCCAATAGATAATTAATCCAACAAATTTGTAAGATTATTAGTAATGGGGTAGTGGTGGGATTATTAATCCAATGGATATTAATCCAATTGGATAGTAAATACCACACTAATTTAATAGGATTATTAATACTTCACTATTAATCTTGTGAATCAAACATGACCTTATTGTTTTATCCTATGTTGTACTGTGTTCATGTGAATATTCACATCATGGTTTTGCTTAATGTAACCATGGTCACATCATTCCACTATTCATAGCACATATAGTTTGTACTTGTTATCATTTACCATTTGTGACCAGTAACAGTAAATTTGTTTCTAATTGAACAAACAGATGTTGTTAATAGATTTCATGGCAAAATAAAAAGAGAACAGTTTCATGTCAAAGACAAACTTGAACAAATAGCCAGCCCCCCTTGAAAGTGAATATGAAAAAGGTCAACTACCGATCTAACATCATTGGGTTAGTGAAACTGATGATGAGTACCAAGTTCTCGGATCTTCAGCTAGATTGTTTGAAGGAAACGCCATTTTGGCAGTTGTTTAACGTGTTGAAGGTCAGTAAAGTTGACATTAACAAATACATGAAGTTCAATGATGTCATCGTATGCGTGCTAGAGACATACAAGGCATCCAAAGACACATTTTACATCGGCGAGAAAAATATGAATATAAATTTTACATCCTTTGTGATTTTGTAAATATTAGAATACATTGGACAAAAGAACCATAATTAGTTATTTTGATTGTGCTTAATAAGACACAATGGTATGTTGTCATAATTTGCTACTAGAAAGTCAATGTTAACATTCATATTAGTTTATGTTATTTTATAATTATGTACACATAACCATGGGCTTAATGTGACTAAATTAATTCATTTGATATTTTATTCGTGGTGTTAACATTCACATCAATAATCTGATTGTGCATAAACATACACTTCATGTTTGTGTACACACAAAAATGATGGTTTGTGCTTAATGCAATGTTGATGTAGTCATATTTTTAGAGATTAAAAAATCAATGTGAACCGTTATATTGTTGTCAGCTGCTTTACAATTGTGTACACATAATCAATGACTTAATGTGATTTGTGGGCAATGCAATTTTGATATGAACTTTAATATCACCATTCCATATTAGTAATTAATACTTTGAAACCATAGTGTCTTCATTTATATTCCAGAATTCATGTGAATTTTCACATTCGTATATTTTAGTATGAATATTCACATCATGTTTGTATTCAAAATGAAAGCTGAGGTTTGTCGTTGTGTAAGTTGATGCAATGCTGATGTGAACCTTCACATCACCTTGTCACAATGGTAATAAACACCGTGAAAACATATTCACCATTCAATATTATATTGGTGTGTGAATAATGTTAACACCAATTGATAACAGAATGACAAATCTTCAATTCAAATTAATGTAAATATTAACACTAATCACATCATGCCAAAAAAAAAAAAAAAAGCTAAGGATATATTTTGCACAACTATTCCAAAAAACCGAACACTTTATGAACATTCACATTGTTCATCCGATGTGAATATTCACCATATTCAAAAATTTAAATCAAAACTCAAACACATGATCAGCCAAAACCAACAACTCCATACAACCAACCAACCAAAATTTAATCTAGATGATAATGTTAAAAGCAAGAAACAGAGCATACAATCCTTCATAGACATTCACATTCTTCCTACGATGTGAATATTCACCACATTCAAAAAATAGAGCCATATCTCAACCACATAACCAGCCAAAACCTATAATCCCATTCAACCAAATAAAACTTGCATGTCCATCAATTCCAGAAAATGAAGTTGGAAAAAAGAATTTAACAACATAGATTGGATACAAAAATGAATGTTCACACCATGTATTTGAGTTTTATTGTTTTATCCTATGTTGTACTGTGTTCATGTGAATATTTACATCATGGTTTTGCTCAATGCAACCATGGTCACATCATTCCACTATTTACAGCACATATAGTTTGTACTTGTTATCATTTACCATTGGTGACCATTAACAGTAAATTTGTTTCTAATTGAACAAACAGATGTTGCTGATAGATTTCATGGCAAAATAAAAAGAGAACAGTTTCACGTCAAAGACAAACTTGAACAAATAGCCAGCCCCCCCTGAAAAGTGAATATGAAAAAGGTCAACTACCGATCTAACATCATTGGATTAGTAAAACTGATGATGAGTACTAAGCTCTCGGATCTTCAGCTAGATTGTTTGAAGGAAACGCCATTTTGGCAGTTGTTTAATGTGTTGAGGATCGGTAAAGTTGACCTCAACAAATGAATGAAGTTCAATGATATCATCGTATTCGTTCTGGAGACATATAAGGCATCCAAAGACACATTTTACATCGGCAAGAAAAATTTGAATATGAATTTCACATCCTTTGTGATTTTGTAAATATTAGAATACATTGGACAAAAGAATCATAATTAGTTATTTTGATTGTACTTTAATAAGACACAATGATATGTTGTCATAATATTTGCTACTAGAAAGTCAATGTTAATATTAATATTGGTTTATGTTATTTTATAATTATGTACACATAACCATTGGCTTAATGTGACTAAATTAATTCATTTGATGTTTTATTCATGATGTTAGCATTCACATCAATAATCTGATTGTGCATAAACATATACTTTATGTTTGTGTACACACAAAAATGATGGTTTGTGCTTAATGCAATGTTGATATAGTCATATTTTTAGAGATTAAAAAATCAATGTGAACCTTACATTGTTGTCAGCTGCTTTACAATTGTATACACATAATCAATGGCTTAATGTGATTTGTGGGCAATGCAATTTTGATGTGAACTTTAATATGACCATTCCATATTAATAATTAATACTTTGAAACCATAGTGTCTTCATTTATGTTCCAGAATTCATGTGAATTTTCACATTCGTATATTTTAGTGTAAATATTCACATTATGTTTGTATTCAAAATGAAAGCTGAGCTTTGTCGTTGTGTAAGTTAATGCAATGCTGATGTGAATCATCACATCACCTTGTCACAGTGGTAATGAACACAGTGAAAGCATATTTACCATTCAATATTATATTAGTGTGTGAATAATATTAACACCAATTGATAACACAATAACAAATTTTCAATTCAAATTAATGTGAATATTAACACTGATTACATTATGCAAAAGAAATAGCTAAGTCTATATTTTGCACAACTAATCCCAAAATCGAACACTTTATGAACATTCACATTGTTCATGCGATGTGAATATTCACCATATTTAAAAATTTAAATCAAAACTCAAACACATGATCAGCCAAAACCAATAACCCCATACAATCAACCAATTAATCAAAATTTTATCTAGATAATAATGTTAAAAGCAAGAAACAGAGCATACAATCCTTCATATATATTCACATTCTTCTTGCAATGTGAATATTCACCACATTCAAAAAACAGAGCCATATCTCAACCACATAACCAGCCAAAACCCATAGCCCCATTCAACCAAATAAAAATTGTATGTCCATCAATTCCAGAAAATGAAGTTGAAAAAAAGAATTTAACAACATAGACTAAATACAAAAATAGTTGCGATTCAAATCCATCTCCTTTTTTCCTTTGATTCAATCCAGTCGAATGTGGGTTTTAATCAATCTATTGAACAAGTTTATAATCCATCACCTATTTTCCTTCGATTCAAATCCTCCTATTTTCCTTTGATTTCCGGCTGAAATCATAACTATGGCAAAAAAAAAAAAACAGAGCACAAAAAAAAAAAAAAAAAAAAAAAAAAAAACATAGCACAAACTCTGAATCGTCATCTTTTCTCCTATAGGAATGAAACCCTACCGTAACGAAATACTATCACGAACTCTGTGTCGTCATCTTTTCTCCTATGGGAACGAAACCCTACCACAACAAAAACAGATGAAAACATGTATATCATTCTTGTATATAATATATATTAATAATAGACATAATGGTATAATAGTCTAACAAAAAATATAAATCAAGAAAAAATGACCTTATGGAATAAAAGTATAAACACAAGAGACTCATTAGGATATAATTTTCCTTTGTGAACTTATTGGGATAGAACACCACTAAATGAAATTTATCAATAAAAGCCCATCGTTCTTTATACAAGTAATTTTTAAAAAAATTCCCTTTTTTTTATTTATATATGCTCTCTTAAAAGAAATTTAAAAAAATCAAAAACTCAACTTCTTAACTTATTTTCAAAATTGGGCGAAAAAGCATGCCTCTATCGGCAGTCAGTCTACATCTACAACTGACTACATCATCTCATCATGGTGTAAGTCGGAATTGGATGATGAAATAGGATAGGACTGTTCCGGCCAGGATTAGGATTACTGATCTTATTATCTTATGGATTCAACAACAACTTCTCCTTCTCCTTCAACTCCTCTGTGGAACGTCGATCGGCCCTTTCTCACAGGCCATTTCCACCAGGTTCCCCCCCTTCCTTATCTGCTTTTCTATTATTTCTACCCATCATCACGTCACATTACATGTGTTTGTTTTGTTTTTTGTTTTAATGACACCAAAATCAATTGCTGAAAGATATTTTGCTTACTTAGTTTAGGTACAAATTCAACTTCTGAATAAATGCTAGGGCTTCAAACTTGTTGCTTTCATCTCTCTCCTCTGCTCTCTGGAATTAAATTGATAAGGTGTTTCTGACAATGTATGTACGTATGTATGTGTGTACATTTCATTAGGAAACCAAGTCCTCCTCCCAAATTCCTGGATCCAAGGCTTCTTTCAGGTCCTTCTTCTGTTCTGTGTTGTTTCTCCGAAGTCTATTAATTCAGATTATTTAGAAAATATTTAGGGACCAAAAAAAATAAAATAAGGGTTGACCCATTAACAAATTAAACCCAGGTTTTAATTTCTTCCATTTAAACCCTAATTTTTTTAAATTGGTCCCAACCCCAACCATATGTCCATCTCCACTAATTTATAAATATTTTTTTGCAACACACTTTGACAATTTTCCATTTGTTGTTTGAACCTGATGTCAAATCCAATTTCCACGATAACTGCACCAAATCACAACTACCATTTATTAACCATCCTAATCGCTCATCTCAATCATACCATGCGCTTCACCACATTGGATCAATCCGTCCTTCTCCTTCCCCTTTTCCCACTAATCACCCTTCTTCCCCTTCTCTTTCCCCAGTGCCACCGTTTTCCCCTTCCGCCAACGCCACTCTCTTGCCCCCTTTCCATACCACCCACCACCGGCTCCTCCCTTCTTCTAGTGCTAACCTCTCCTCCCTTTGGGTTCCTTCCCTCGCCAACCAATACCATTTGGGATGAGAAGGGAAGAATTGGTGGTGGTGGGCGGAGATGAGGAAGGGATGGAGGAGGTAGTGAGGGTGAGGGTGTGGAGGAGGTGGGTCAGGACATTGAAGGAGGGGGGTGAGGTGGCTGGGGAAGGGGAAGGTGGTGGAGATTCTTGCTATAATATGTGACTGTTAATTGAGAATTATGATGAGGTTCTTTGTATTTGAGCTATCTTGTGGTGGGTTGTTAAATTGAGGTGGTGTTAGAGAAGGGGAGAGTGGTGATGGTGGCATTGTGGCAACATAATTGGACGATGGTTTGAGTTGGTACCAATTTAAAATTCAGGGTTTTAAATTGAAGGAATTAAAAACCTAGGGTTTAGTTTGTTACCAAGGTCGAGTGTTGGTTTTTTCCCCCTAATATTTATCATCATTGATTATTGTTCACTAGATTATTGATTTGGTATGTGGTTGCTTTAATTACTTGCTAAGCAGTGTTGGAATGGAGAAGGCTATAGGTTGCTATCATGCTTCCATTCAGGTATGCTTTATAGGCATTTTATGAATAATAATGCAGTACAATTGTCGTTGTGTGTTGTTGTTCTACTGATTTGTTGACTGAAACTTCCATTAGTTTTTAGTAGGTGAATGATTGTTATTGTTCACATTGGTCAACATGTAATACACTAGTCAATCTATAGGCATGTAAGTTGCAATTGTTGTAATCCATGTGCTTTTCTTTTTTTCTTCCTTATTTTGCCTTTTTTCTTTTTCCATTTTTTCGGTGGTGGTATTGCCATATGTTGTTATTGTCATAAGTGTTGGTGTATGTGTATGCACATATCATGTTGTTCTTTGGTTGCAACATGCCTACAAACTCTTTAATGGTGTGTGTGTCTGATTTTTTTGAAGAAAGTGATATGTGGTTAGGACTCAAAAACACTTTTAAGTGAATGGAAATGAAAATGCATATTAATTCTTGGTTTTTTTTACATAGACTAGAATTATTTCAGACTTTAGTTAAATATAGCAAACAACAAATTGTCTTTTATTGTTCATCTAATGACTTAAGTTGTGAGTTTTTATTTTTTATATTTTTATTTTAATCAAAGGAATTTAATCCAATATTTGTTTAAGGAAGCGGTTAGGCTGAACCTACTTACTTTTCCTTAGGGAAGATGGGGGCATGAAGTGTTGGTTTTAGTCAAAACTTGTATTCCTTCCTGGGATCCTTTACTTGGAAGGTGGCACTTCATAATGTTCTGATGGTTGCCCATTGCCTGAAAAGCTATCATTGTAACTAGCACATATTGTTTGATGAAACTTGTATCCTTCCTGAGATCCTTCATGTACCATAGGCTTGTGTGTTCATTTATCTGTCTTGGGGCTGCTATCCATTTCGTTTTGAAGGCATGCCTAGAAGAGCTTTAGATGCATAGATTATTGTTATTCTTTTTCTATCTAGCTTTATTTGTCTACAACTTTTTGAAAATTTTAAAATTTAATAAAAATTCAATTTATTTGGACCTTATTTTGCAAGATATGGTTGAACAGAAGTATATTGTTGCGTGTCATTATCTGTTTAGTAACTTATTGACAATGTTGTGTTCTTTTGATATGCAGGAATTGATTGTGATTGATGATCTTCTGTCTGCTTTGGTTGGAATTGAAGGACGATACACTTCAATCAAAAGAGTCCGAGGGAAGGATGCTAATTTTGCCTTCCAGGTTGATGCATCTATGGATTTAGCACTTCAGGTTTGAATGCTTTGTTTGTGGTCTTCAAATCTGGTGGTGTAAGCAATGACTTTTTTGTACTTTTAAAAAAAAAATTAATTTTATAGTCGGTGCCGTTTGGTAACACTTACGTTTTCAGTTTTCTGTTTATATTTACAAAAATTTAAAAAACTCAAATAAAAACTTATTTGGTAAAATTTTTGATTTATAAATAAGTGGTCTCAGTTTATAAATTTGGCTAAAAAATGTGTTTCTGTTTTGAATTTTGAATTTTTTTTTTTTACCACCCAACACTAGTCACCACCCGCCACCTTATATTTTCTCTTTATTCTTTTTCTTCCTTTATCGAGCATTGTGTCTGGCTCTCGCATTTCAATGGCTGCAGCGCCTGACGATGACACAGTTGGCCTCGATTTCATTTCCACTGACTGTCTTGACCATTCCCTTTGTCGTCTTCCTCCCCTTCGTCTACTTCTTAACACAAGTTTGTGAGAGAGAAGCAGAGTAAAAACAAAAAGCTACAAAATTATTTTTCTATAGCTCAAATTTTTATTTTTTTTTTTGTG